AGGGAGCTAAGGGAACCTGCTGGGCACCGGCCCCAGGGGTCGGCGGATTTGAGTGTTTTTTGGAATCATACGGCCATAGGGTCCTTCTGGAGTCCTTCTTCTTATCCTTGTTGTTAGGATTAGGACCCCTCAAAAGCGACCCCTAAGTTTGAAAAAACAACTAATCAGAACCCAATGTAGAATCCCGATCATTATGTCCCTAAAGCCTCTCCATACAGGCACTTTATATCCCATGGAAAGATGGGGGTTTCCCAAAGTATTCTGGGGTCTATATTGGTACTAGATAGTGAGCAGTTGGCAGCTCATGGCCTGAGCAACGGGGAATCCCTCCGCTGATCCTCGTCAGACGCTACTACAGCCTAATGTGATTCCTTTACGCGAGTGATAAGACCGGCCAAAGTAGTCAGTCCCACTCACATCTTAGAAATCGTCATAATGAAGCCCGAAATCCTACTAACCACTGAACCTTAATCACCAGTCCTAGAAGAGCTTTTGGGTTCTCTGAGGCCTGACATGGACAGCAACGCTGGCCATGGGGACGTGCTTGTGGGCTTTGCCGCGCACGTGGAGAGGGTGCCAGCGCACTCTATGTAGGAGGCTTTTTCCTACTACGGCACCTTTTTGGGGTCCTTCGCGAGGCCTCTAATTGTCAATGGGGAGGCTGGGGGATGGTTGCATCAGCCTCTCATCCCTAGATCTTCCGAAAATCACCCTTCTCTTGGGTATTCTTTTTCTCGCCTCATGCCTTACACCCGACGTGTTTTCGACTCCTAAGTCAGACTTCAGCGCGCCAAGCATCCGCACCATGAAAGCTTCACCGTTCTGTCAGTGCCTGCAGGTTCCGATGGAGGTTTGGGCACGCGGCGTGAAGCATGAGAGGTTGGGTTGCTGGCTCAGAAGACTCTGGGTAACGCAGTGCAACCTGTGTGCCGCTTCTTGCCAGATAGCCAGCCAGGGAAGCTCAATGATTCGGAAGAATCCAAAGAGGTACCGCAAGCCTTTCTCCCCCGCCGGGCCTAACACCTCGCTGAGGCACTCTTCCCCTGGACAGCACCATGCGGAGCTCCCAAGGTTCTCCGCGTGGCAGAGTCTTTTCAGGTTGAAGTAGCAACGAAGCTGGGACGGTAATATCAAATAGTCTGCTGCAAATCAAAACCCCTAACCATGTGCTACCTTGCCACTCCACGTCCCGGAATAAATTATGCCAGGATCGAAGGGCACCGCCACGGGCAGCGGGTTCACAAAGAGCACAACACAGGCCAGCAAGATCAAGCGGATGCAGATTATGTTGCGGTAGCTGACTTTGTGGTGGCCTTCGGGTGATTCCTGGTTGTAGATGACGGACATCATCAAAGATCTATAAAACAATAGGAGGGGACAGAAAAAAAACATTACCAAGTGCTCGCGGGTAAAGTGATGGAGCAAGATGTTGCATCCATGGGAAGAAACCCCACATACAGCACCTTCTTTTTGGGAGCACAAAACATATGCCAGCATACTCGCAGCCCTCCGGACACTGACATGGGCCCGCTAGCGTTGGTTCCGCAGCGCTCTTTCCAGAAGTCACGGCATAGAGCGTCTGCATGGACTGTCACGGGGCGGCACTGGTGTTGTGATGAGAACGGATGGGGGTTGCTACAGCGGTGCGGAGGGACTCTTGCGGGCAACGTATGGGGCATGGGCATCACAGATGCGAGCCAGAGCGGGCAGCCAAAACCCAGGAGGAGGATGAGCTACTCCTGGCAGAGTTATATGCGCACCGCCCTCAGCCTTCAGGTGCTGATGCTGCCATGGGTCCTGATTCGTTTCACAGTAATGGCGTGATGGCTGGGCTGTCGGGCGGCGTGATTGTAGTGGTTTCGCATGGCTGCTTACACACGCAGCGGAATGCCTACTGATTCACAATCGTATGCATTGTTGGGGACAACCAATCTCCAAAAAATGTCAACCCTCAGAAGCCTGGTACTTGCTCGTGACGCCGACACCTATTGGATGGACTGAGGGATTATGAAGGGGTTGGGGCCTGAACCCCAAGACCCCATGAAATCCAAAACCTCAGCCCCAAACCTTAAGACCCCCTGCCCGAACACTATGGCTCAATCAGGTTTGGCCCAGAAGATGAGGTGCGAGGGGCATTTGCTGGGTGCAAAATGGGGCCTCTTAATGCTTGGGCACATGATTCAAATTCAGACAAAGTTTCTGTCTGGGAGTCACGCAGCCAAACATGTCCTCATGTCGCGTCATTTCGGAGCATGTCGTTCAGCCCTGCCACATGAAAGGACGCCGTGGCCTTTCAAGGGGCTCTATTGTTGAGGGGGAGGAGAGAGAAGAGGCAGAATAATGAAGTGGTGCCAGGCGCCTACACCCAAGAGAGACTTTCGTAGAGTCATTTGCCTGCGTAGTGGCGTTATTCTCTAGACTTAGCTTCGTCAATGCCAAGCATGCAGCCCTAAGCCTTGATTTTGCGTTGCGTGGGCCAGTTTCATACAATTCACATCATCATACACAGGTCATACTAAGCGCTGCGCGTCAAGTACAACAGAAACCAGCATCTTCAGAAACTCTGCCTAAGCTGGGTTTGTGAGCCTGAAACCACGGCATCCCCGGGCCTGTGAGCCTCTGGACCTCTCAACTTGTGTGGACATGCCCCAGCCCCCAAATGAGCATGCGTGCATGTCTGCAGAGCAGGAAGTGGGAGAGCGACCTCCCAGCAGTGAAATCATCAAGCCTGTGGTCGAGGCACTGTGCTGACAATACCAGCAGCATGTCCAGTGCATGATGGTGGCTTTCAGGTTGGCGGTGCTGAAAGAAAGTAAGAATTGTCATCGGAACCTGCTATAGGTCCTCAACACAGACGTTCGGCGCAGTGCTCTGTGATCTCCACTAGACATGTAAAAGAGCGGGATGTGTTCGGCCACGGTGCCACTTGCAGGGTTCCCATCCTATACATTCCACAGGTAGCACCTCTGTTCTAAGTCACATTGCCTATTCGAATGAGTAGGGGCGGCTTTGCATCACGGAAGGAGACGGTACCGCGCAGAAGAAGGCTGGCATCGGGAGATCATGGATCAATAATGCAGAAGCCTGAACAAGTGGAAATGTTATCCCTACATGAACATATGATATGTATACACTGCCGTAAACTGCCCCGAGGACGTTCAGGAAGTACATGGTTGTTCAAGTTTCTGGAGACCTTTGGTCCTACGCTCCATGCGACAAATTCTGACCAGGACCGGCGCTGTGATGGACTTCCGCGGAGCCTTGTCAGCAGTGCATACTTGCAAATGTCAGTGGATCAGGCTTCCGGTGCCCGTTTGCTGCACACCCTATTCATAGGATCGGTATTTAACAGGCACCTGCCTTGAAATTTGGGAAATCGCACCCAAAAGGATGGGACGCAGGTGCCCCTGTGATGCCACTGGGAGTCCTTGGTGGCCTGGCGGCTGACATGGTCGGCGTTGAGGTGCCTCGCGGCATGTGGCTCTCGAAGCTTGGGGATTTCCTACTCTTGACACATGCTCCCATTCGTTACAATCATAAGTTATAGTGAAGCACCAAGATCCAAGAAGGGACCCCAGTTTTCAGGAACCTCCTCCCAGTTCATTTTAATGAACTCTGACCTGCCACGCGCGGTGTTTTGAGAACTGCAACTTTTCTTCACTTATGTACCTGTACCTGCCAAGTGAACTTACCGCGCAGGTTCTGACCTTGCTAGGCTTCGCATAGCTTCAGTTTTGAGTGCTTTCCAGGAGCGCCTGACCCATCGTCCAGAAGCACTGGAGCATGTGCCGCATGAGCACAGTCAGGTCCGCAACCTACCTGTGAGAAGCTAGAGATGGGGCGGGAAGGAACAAAGAGACAGAATGAGGAAGCGTGCAAGAGAAAGATGCCAACTGATGGCCCTCGGAGCCAATGTTTGAAAGACATACAGCAAGGTTTATGACTTTATGATGCAAGAGCAGATGTGTTGAATATTGTTGCACATGGAATGGCCGGAGGGAGAGAAGACCAGTGTGGCGATACCATGATGCCTTTTCGGAAGTATGTCAGTAAATGCAGGAATCATTGCTGAACACCAGTGAAATGCATGACAATTCATGTTTGATCATCTAGCTTCAAGAGGTCTCAGGTTGACGTGGGTCAGAGGCGTCTTTTCGGAGATGTTGTGGTGAGAAGCTTAAGCAAGAACTCTCAATGCTTTGGGCTGATGTGGACACTTCTGCAAAAAAGTGCTCCCTCATTTCCTGCCATAGCTTGTTCATCCGCATTAAGAGGACTCCCCAAAGCAGCATCTGGAGCACACCCTTACGTGAACGCGCTAGGTCCTGGACCAGGGAGACTTCCGCGCCATCACGCGTTACCACGCAGGCCCGAGCCCGAGCAGAGCAACTGCCATGGTGCTTCGGGGTGGCTTTGGCTTACCTTCACCATTAAGTGGAACATTGAAGATGTTGAATGCTGTGAGCTCCAGCGACAGTTTTAATGGGTGTTTGCAAAAAGAGGGCTACTTTCTATTCTCAGATAGTGGGCTCCTTTCTTTTGCCCTCCGGAAAAGGGACCCATGGTGTGGACAAAGTCCCAGGTTACTATGACTGGACGGTAAATCCCAGTGCTATGGTGGATGCCCCTCGCGGATGTGCCATCCGGGGAGCCTGGCCCTGAGCCTCGGGTTTTAGGCCTTAGGGCCTAGGGTTGAGGGTTTAGGGTTTAGGGTTTTGGTGTTTGGGGTTTAGGGTTCAGGTTTTAGGCTTTAGGGCTTAGGGTCTAGGATTTAGGGTGCAGGGTTTAGGGCTTTACAGGGAGCATTTGGAAATCCCGTCCCCCTCCAAATAATGAGGGCCCCATGACTCATGACTGCTTATATGATTATAACAGGGTCCTTACTTTGGGGTTTCGGGGTTGCCAATTAGTCCTCAATACGAATAGCATACACATGATCTCATGCTATTTCTCCACATCTATCTACGCACTCCTAGACTCATAGACGCATATCCCAGTCATGATGAAGCTCGACAACAATAAACCGATGTCAACAGCCACTTTGATTCGCGCCATGAAGCCTCAGCGGTTTTCGTCTGCTGATGAGAGGTTATAGAGGCTTTGGGTTTCTGAAAACTATGGGCACCCTTTGGTGGTCATATGATGGCGGCGGGTTGCTTCTACATGTTGGCACGTTGACCGACATTGGGACCGCAGTTGGAGAAACATCCACATGGAGGAACACATGTCCAGACGCTGCACATAAAGGATCTTGCGCAAGTATGGCTTTGAGGTCACTGGCGAGGGCAATGTGGCTATCGTTACGTCCGTCGGCGTAGGCCGGCCGCTGTTGAGGAAGCCTTCCCTAAGATTGACCTTCTGAAATTGTGGGGAGCTACTACTCCCTGAACCCATATTCAATGCCCCAAAATCCCTAAAAGTCTTTTTGACATATTCCCAATGGAGTGAGTGGTGTCCAGGCATCTTTGCTTAGTCCCCCACACGTTCCGCAGGTTTCTTCTTATCCCTCCCACAAACTGACACTGCACTCCATGTTGACCCACTTTAAACGAGTTGCCTTCACAGAGCCCCTTGTAGGGTTCCGTGTTCGTTTGGAAGGGTATTTTTACCCATATATCCCTGCATACATGCAATGCCGAAAGCCCCTCAAGGGGTGCCACGTGAGTTTGGGCGAATGCAGGTCACCTCCGCGGTGAGGGCCGCCAACTGGAGCCCGCAAGCGAGGTGCAGGCAGCGGAATGCTGAAAAATGACCACGGGCTGCCTGGAAATTTTGGGGTTATTTAGGGATTCGAGGCGTTCTGCTGGTTTTACATGGGTTCTGCAAGAGTTGTACAGTAGAGGATCATAGGGTTTTTCTAGTTTTTGATCTATGGGCGCTGTGTGCCGAAGATTCCTAGCATAAGTGGAAGGTCTGAAAGATATGTGGCTGGCTGGGAGGAAACGTCTCTGGATGAGCTGCCAGCCCCGACCTCGCTGGAAGAGTTGGAGGAGGTGAGCCTCATTGAGACTCGTAGTAAGGAGGGAACTGAAGTGCTTGAGCATTAAGCTCGAACTACATTAGACCTGAAATCCAAGCTCTAGTCTCGTTCTAAATGCTCCACAGCGAGGAGCCAGGCAGCGGTGAGATTGTGGATGAAGCACCGCTGGCCTTGTCAGGCTCTGCGTTTGCATGGGCGGCTCTGGGTATGAGCAGGGCTTGGTTTTTCAGTTATGTGTTGACAATGCCAAGGGTAGTCAGGGATGATGTGGGGCTTGTCAGGCAAAGATTGTCGGGACTCTGAAGCAATGCTTCTCAACAATGAGCGATGCAAGCATCTGCTTGTTTGAAGGACAGATAGGGAACACCCCGCATTAAGGCGCGGCATGCAATCACTGACGCGTCACAATCCCTGACAGTGTTTGTGGGTTTACCTGACCTCCACTCCTCTTAACATCACCAGAACCTAAGGTCTTCATCAATCTCATTCTTAACCTGCAAGGCTCCCCGCGCCCGGCCACCAGTGCCTCAGCGGCCACAAGCGCCTCCGTCACAGCCAGCGTAGCCAGGCCGAACCCTTGATACGATAAGGTTTAGGGATTAGGTGATTAGGGCCTGGGGACGCCTGGACCGAGACAAAGATTTTGGGTTTATGTGAGGATAGGAGTCTGTAGAAACACACTACATGAGGGATAAAAGCACGTTACAAGGCCTTAGATTTGAAATGTATTGGATTGCGGATGTTTGTGCCACGAGATTGAAAAGCCTCATGCCGCGAAGACGTGGTGAGGATTGCCTGGGCCTTACCCGTATTGATGAACGCCACCAGTTTTACGCGGTCAGTGTGCAAGGCCCCAGGCTCATGATAAGATGCTTCGTCCAATCTTGTGTGCGTGCGCTTCGGTGGTTATGTCTGAAACTCCCATATGCAAGCCATTTGAAGAAGGGTTTCGAGCCCGTTCTCGGTTCAAGATGAAGCTTGTAAGCATCATGATGGCGCCGGCCCTCTCCATATCACCCAAACATCAGAAGCCTTATGCCAGGGTCTGACCCACAGTTTCAGTAACTCATATGGCCCACTCCCTCCACCGTAATGCTTGTCTCATTTTCCAAATTGCCATCCTGAATTAAGACAAAGCTTCAAATCTGTGCGTAACCCTGCAGGCCAAAGACTCGTCACCTCAACACTGAAACCCCAAACCTCAACCCGAAACCTGACACTTAGCAAAACCCAATGCCCTGTTCCTAAAAACTCAAACACCAACCTTGTACCCCGAACCTTACACCTCAAGATTTAGACCCCAAATCTGAATGAAGCATTTTGACAGAGGAGACCCGACACGCGGGAGCAGCTGCGGCTTGAGCCCTGGCACAGCTCAGCAATGCCTCAAACAATAGCTAGAATATCATGATAATATATTGATAATAGTACGAACAATAGTAGAAACAATAGCAAAATAATTGTAATGATAGCAGTACTAATGCTAAGAAGAATAATGGCAATGATTTTTGTAATCTGAGCCATGATTTCCTGTTTTATCATTTTCACACGGAGATCTGGAATGTGCAACGCGTGGAAGCTGAAGTTAGTCGCCGACATCCTCATGCAGCTCCTAGTGCACATACTCCTCCTGCTGCCATTAATCAATAACACCATTATGATGATTATACTTACAATCACAGTTGCTGATATTATCACCATTTTGATTGCTACTGCTGCTGCTGCTGCTACAGCTACTGCTACTGCTACTGCTACCGCTACTTCTGCTGCTGTTGTCCTATTACTCCTGCTGTTGCACTGCTACTGCGCCTGCTCCTCTTCTGCTGCTGATGGTGCGGTACTGGCAGTGCTTCTGCTATTCTGCTCATACAACATTGCCTAGTGACTAGTGGCTGGAAGTGTTGAAGTGGCTGGCTTGCAAGCACCTTTGCAGGCTGGAATCGCGCGCATCTGCCCGTGTCGAAACCAGAGGCCAGTACAAGTGAAACGCTGCATAAGGGCGATCTGACTGACTGTTTACTACGTGCTACCCCGCTCATTTGCCATTGGTGATGTGTTTTCAGTGGACGAACAGCACAGCAACTCAAGATTTTGGACTCAGTCTTCAGGCTGACGCACTGACACCGGACGTTTCCAGGGTTTTTAACGGAAAGTCTGGTGCCTCATACGGACCAGGTTTGCAAGCAGGAAAGAGTGTGTACGACTTTCTAACAAGAACCCTGCAACAAGAAGGCTCAAGAGGAACTGACCCAATTTCCAAAGATTCCCAGCCTTTGCGCTACCCGGAGTCCGTAACGTCTTCAGGATTTGCAGGGGAGTGCCCGTCTCTATGGTCTGGAGGAAGGATATTATGGTTCTTGCATGGATGCTCTGGTGATGTGCACTTTGTGACGGTATGCTGTTGGAGTCTCTTGAAGATAGACAGTCTAGCAGTCTGTGCATGGATGTTGGAGCTGATCAGATGCTTGCAGGGATGGACGTCATTATGCTTTGGGCATGATGGGCATGTATGCTCTGGTGAACGTTTTTAAACTCCATTGACCGTACGCGCTCGGGGACGGACCTTTTTACTTTCTTGGCATGGATTCTCTGGCGACTGGATGCTCTTGGGATGGACATCAAATTCCTGTGACTGTATGTGTTGGGGATAGACGTTATCTCTTCCCGGATGCACATTAAGTAGCAGTTGTGGTCGTGGCACGGATGCTGCGGTAACCGCATCTTCTCCGAGATCGGCTATATTATTGTTTGGGCACGGACGCCCTTGTGATTGGATACAATCGAACATCAGTCGATGCAATGATGGTGTGAGAGCTGAGTGGGTGCTGCAAGAACCACATGTGAAACCCTAGAGTTGTAGAGGCTGGGTACAAAAAATATGCGCCGCCTGAAACTGTTTTGTTAGTGTACCTAACGGCAAACTCAGGGGCTCGAATCCAAACATCAACTCCCATTCGGGCATGGCATGCTCAGAAATATGATCGAGCCAGCCGTAACTACTTGTCAGGCACTATTGAGGAGTGCGTAGAGGAGACGGACGACGAGGGTGCGGTGATCGAGGAGATTTTGCACGTCTGTAAGACAGAGGCTCCCTTTGATTGAGGCTTCTCATGTCTGGGCATGGTTGTTCATCCTTGCATCCCTTGATCTTGCCTCGAAAGCCCACATCTGTGACGGCACGCAGGAGGAAGAGGAAGTGGAGGAAACCTGGCGGCCCCTCTGCAGGATTAGGGGCCCTCCCCGCAGTATTCAGCTTGGTTGGCGAGCTTGCAGCTTCTGTATATTTCCCGCGTTGAGTGTTTTCGTGATGTGCTGCTGCTGCTGCTGCTGCCACCCAAACCATCCCAAACCACCATCACCGCAAGTCAGAACCATCATGTCTCTGATGATACTAGCGATTACTAGCGGTACTGACCCTGTCGCGCTGCAGTCGATGCTCTGAGGGGATTCATTCCTGCATTGCTGGTATTGGGAGACGAGGTTTTGTTGTCCGAGGGAGGGCGTTCGGATTGATGCTGAATGCTCTCATCATGTCATTCGATGGTGCCTAGCATGGGAATACGAGAATGAATTGTACTGAGGATGGCCCCAGATCCTAGTTTAGAAAAGCCGGCATAAATCCAAGACCCTAATTGCACAATCCAAAGCCCTACATCCTCAGACCCTAGCCCCGAGCCCAAAGTCCTGAGACCTGTGCTCTAAGCCAGCAAACTCAAACAAGCCCTAAGACCTGAGCCCAAATTGCTTTCTGCCATTTTCTGCCTGATACCGCTCCAACCTGACCCTGGCAGAAACCTGCGAATTGCCCGTGGCGTCCCTCTCCGCGCAGACATGCCAAAGCCGCAGACACAGAACATCGCCGCCTGGCCATTCGAAAATTATCACAAACAGTTATGAACAGCGACAGTACTAATGGTAATGCTGGTGGAGTTGGTGGCCGCAGCATTGTTGTTATCAGTATGCATAGTGTCAGGTAAACGTAATAGCAATAAAGAGTAAGAATGCTTATGATCTGAATAGCAGTTCCACAATTTACGTTACATGCAGTAGTTGCACGGGTTCCTTAGCAGATCTTTGGAGTATTGCTGGGTTGAGGTGCCATCAACACGAGCTTACTGGTCTCAAGGGATCAGGAATAATACATTCAACTACACTCTTCCGGCAAGAGCCACAGGAGTCAGACAATGGGAAAGTTAGCAAAACAAGTTCAAGACGAAATCGTTTGCCTCTAGCGTACGTGAGTCCAGGCCAACACTGATGCAGATGCTGCTTGGCTCCAATTTGGCAATGTCTTGGAGCTCTGGTTTCCCGAAGAAGGCAATATAACCCTTATACAACCCCAATATTACCGTAGTTTCCATTTTATTTTCCATTATCACAAGATGACCCCTATGTAAACCCATGATAGTCCCAGCAATTGGACAGACCAGGCTGCGAAGATGCTGCGGGAACATGGGAAGCTGATCGATGCTCCGGAGGTTCTCTCACGTCTCGAGAGTGTGGTATCATTGTTATCCTCATTTCCACTCCTAGTTGTCACTCTTCTCTTCGTCTATGAAAGTCCTTACTCTCTTGGTGCAATTATCTTTCATGATCCTGAGATTTCTACTTCAGTGTTACGAACCTTCTGTTCAATATCCAGGGGCAATCTGGGTCATGGAAAATAAGCCACTATGCCCCATGATTCGCGAGATGATCCCACTCATAGCCCCAACACATCCCTGGGTTCTTTGGGGATCTTTGGGGTACCAAACCCTTGCCTGTGACTTTGCATTGAGAATTGTTGCGCAGGGCCTGGAGATGAATTTCCTGAGCCGTGGCTTGGGAGCAAGGTAGAGAGGGGCATAGAGATCTAGAACCGGACTTCGAGCTATGTCTGGGGATAAAGAATGAGGTGCAGCAAGCACTCAAGCTGTTCGAGCTGTAACAGGCTGTCTCACCATTCTAGGCCCTTCTTCGTGTGTTCCCATGCCTACACGCGTTTGTTTTGGGGTACAGGTGCCTGGATAATGCTCAACTGAACTATCTTCCCTACAGGGCCTCGAAGCTTCATCCCTCAATGCGCGAGATGCATGTATGTTGTTTTTGTTCGAGACAAAATGCATTGCAGATTAGGCATCACCAACAAAAAGACGGAGTGGATCTACTGCGGTGTGGCCTCTTGGGCAGCAGTAGTGG